GCCCCCACCTATGGGTAGCAGGTAGCAGTATTCAGACCCTAATGTTTACAATAAATGGTGATCTATTGTCCCCTCACTGACTCCCATAATTAGGGTGGGTGGGGACCTAATTATTGCCATTGTCAACCCCTCAAATAAAAGTATGCTCCACAATCCCCTAATGAAACCATTAAAACAATTCCTACCAACCCCATCACCCTAACAATAGTGAGGATGGGGACAATAAATCTAAAACCTGTTAAAATAAAAATGATACTTACCACCCATTTAATTCTTCTGCTCTTCAACCCCCAAAAAGGCCAAATAAAAATCCATAATAACAGATACCACTAATTAAAATTAAAAAAGGCCCAATCGAAAAAAAAAAAAGAAAAACCTGCTGGGAAAAATAAAACCATGCTGCCATCAAAAATAATCCATCTTCACCTATGGAGGGCTTGCTGCAGAATGAGTGCTCATAGTGGTAAAAGGTTTATAGGCTTCCCCACACTAAGACAGCTATCGCAAAGTGATGGGGCATTTTTTGACGACATTTTCTGGCTGCCCAGTCGCTAGGGTTAGACATTTAGTAGATATGCAGAGGCATATGGAGGTTTGTCCATATGGACAAAATCTGATGTTTATTGAATAACCCTGCTTCCTTAAGAATCAATTCACTCAAACAAAATTGTTTTGACTGTGGATCCTGTATCTTGACAGGCTTATTTTTCTTTGTCATCCATCTTGGGGTATGATCGATATTTGAAGTGGGGGAGTGGGATGTAAGGAGGGACCTTTGATATTAGAAGAAACCAAGCGACTTTGCAGGGTCTGAGACAAATTTGATATCTGTTTGTTTCTATTTAAATGGTACATCTGCTACAATTGAAGCAATTTTTTCTAACTATTACAAATGTTAGCTAGAAAGGGGCATATCAAACTTCTAGGAAGAAGACCATTTAGAAATATTCAGGGTATGGTTTCCACAGTACATGTGTCTATGTCTCTGTCCTCTAAGTGAGCGGTTTTCAACTTTTTTCAGCCGAGGTATAGTTCAGTGAAATAAATAATTTCCAAGGCACACCTACTTTTTTAAAATTATTTTTTAATTTATTATCAATAAAATGAAATTGGAGCTATATCATGGAGACATGCATAATTCTAACCAAATTTACATATTGTTTTATTTGCTAAATGGGAATCGCAATTTTAACGCCGCCACTTAAAAAACAATGCTGCAACTAAAAAATAAAAATAAAAAATACAACAATAAGCACTGAGTACAATCTGTTATAGCCCTAAAGTACATATGTTGTGGAACACTTTGTGGTGGCTTGAGGTACATTAGTTAAAACCACTGCTCTATACTACTGAGCCACAACATTAAAACAACTTGCTTAATATCGTGTAGTTTCCCTAAAACAGCTCTGATGCATCAAGGCATTGACTCCACAAGAACAATGAATGTTTCCTGTGGTATCTGGCACCAATACATTAGCAGAAGATCCTTTTAAGTTGTGCAAGTTGTGAGGTGGGGCCTCCATGGATCAGATTTATTGTTCCATCACATCCCACAGATAATTAATCAGATTGAGACCTGGGGAATCTGAAAGCAAAGTCAACACCTTGAACTCTTTGTTATGTTCCTCAAACCATTCCTGAACATTTTTTTCCAGTGCTCATAAAAATCAATGAACAGGAAGCAGCTCAATTTTTGGGCCCCTTACACAACTCAAGGTCTGGGTCCCTCTGGCCTGACCGTGAGTATGTCTACAAGGCCCGCCCATAAGTTCACCTACATGGCCCACACATGAGTTCCCTCACAGGTAATGGAGTTTATGTGTGTAGGGGATATGTTATGTGTTATTGTAGAGGATGTAATGTGTTTGTGTTCTTATGGAAAGTAGTGTATTGGAATACTAGTTTGTGTACGGGATGTCTGTACGGGATGTGTACGGGGATGTGTACGGGAGTGTCTGTGTGTATAGGGGATGCAGTGTGTTTGTGTGTGAGGAATGCATTTTGTGTTTCTGTGTGTGTGTAAGGGATGCATTGTGTGAATATGTGTTTGTATGTCTAAGGGATGCAAGGTGTGTTTCTGTGTATGTAAGGGATGCAGTGTGTGTGTCTGCAAGGGGTGCATTGACTGTGTGTAAGATGCATTGTGTTTCTGTGTGTGTGTGTGTGTGTGTGTGTGTAAGGGATGCATTGTGTGTGTTTTTTATATAAGAGCTGCATTGTATGTGTGTGTGTGTGTGGGATGCATTGCATGAGTGTGAGGGATGCATTGTTTGTAAGGGTGAGTGTGTGAAGGAAGCATGGTGTGTTTCTGTGTGTGTGTGTGTGTGTAGGATTCACTGTATGTTTTAGTGTGTGAGTAGGGATGCATTGTTTTTGTATATTGTTTTGTGTCTTGCAACCCCCTTTAGTGTATCTCTTACAAGCCCCTTGTGTGTCTCTTATCACCTCCTCTCTTTTTATGTCTCCTACATCCTCCCAACCCCTTTGCGTGTCTTACTCCCCCAGCCCCTTTGTGTTTTTTACTCTTCCCAGCTCCTTTGTGTGTCTCTTTTACGCCCAGGCCCCTCTGTTTGTCTTTCCATTCCCACTCCAAAGTCCCTCTGTGTGTTTCCCTCATGAGCAACTCTGTGTGTCTCCCTCACAAGCAACACTGTGTGTCTCCCTCCTTAGCCTCTCTGTGTATCTCTGTCTCTCCTACCAGCCCCTCTGTTTCTCTTGCTCCCCTGCCAGCCCCTCTGTGTTTCTCTTTCACCTCTTCCTCAGCCTCTCTGTGTTTCTTACACCCCCTGTTCCTTAGTTGTCTCCTTTTCTCCCTGTGTCCCTTAGAGGTCTCCCATTGCTCTCCCCTGCCTCTCCTGAGGACTCTCTACTTCCCTTCTGTTCCTTAGTGTTCTCCCCTCCTGTCCCTTAGTGTTCTCCCATCTCCTTCTGTCCCTTAGTGCTCTCCCCTGGCCCTTAGTGTTATTTACTGCCCTCCTGTCCCTTAGTGATCTCCCCTCCTGTCCCTTAGTACACTCCCTTCTTTTAGTGATATCACCTCCTGTCACTTAGTGTAGCGGATGGCACCGGGCTGTCCTACAAATATATTGTACATAACTGCATTCGTGTGATCTGCTGTGTTAAATGTCTTTTAAACGAATTGTATTTCTCTGATTGTTCGGTAGTTTCATTCCCTTAGTTCATTCGAATGAAACTACCGAACAACCAGACCTCCCCTGTGTGAAGTGTGTCCTTAATTACCCATTGCAACATTGTTGCAAACGGGTAATTGCCTAGTAAGTAGCCATCCTTTGTTCTCGGGGGTGGCCGCCATTCGACAAACGAACACGTGGCGGCGGCCATTTTAAAACTCCCGAACAGCGGTGTTTTGCCGTCGAGTGTCTGGAACTAAAATCGGACACTCGAGTAGGCGAACACCGCTGAGACCTCCACAAGCCCGGTCCGTTCGGTTCCTAACTACCGAACTGCCCCTCGTTCGGTAGATAGAAAGAACCGAACGAGGGGATTCAGGCGAATCCTCCCTAGCCTCTATAGCTAGAGGCTTTCGTGTATTTTATTCCCTTATGCCAGGACCGACCGCAGGGCCCATTCACATGGAACCTCATTCAGCTATCTCAGTTAGTGCGGTCGGTCATTTTATTCCCTCCATACATTTCCCGAACCCCTGGTCTGATCTGGGTGATTTTTGGATATGTTGTTCACCCA